AAGAGATGTGCTTGAGGGAGACAAAGGTGAGAAAATCTTACTTGGGATTCAAACAGTGTGAGAGACGTCATAGCCGAAGACGAGGAGGCCTGAGAAAGTATCAGCGTCGAGTTTCAAGAGGTTCAGTGCGAAGGACGAAGGAGCAGTGGAGGAGAACCTGCGCCCTAGCCTATCAGCGAAGAACAAGAGGAGAGGAAGAAGCATCGTAGAAAAGGAGAAGGAAGGGTTGAGTTTGTGCATTCGTGTGTGAGAGAAAGTCAAAGCCAGGCTTTTGATCCAGAACTCTCGCGAGCAGAAAGAAGTTCACTCGTGCACAGTGAGCAGAGTAGTGATTTCTCGTGCGTGGAGTAGGGAGATTGGCTTTATAAAAGTAAGTTTATTTATTTAATTATTTAAAAATTATTATCTATATAATATATGTTTATTATTTAAAGTTTAAGTGAATTTCATTCTGGTACTAAAATAGAGTTATGGTTTTAATTTTAAATATAAATATTAATTTTGATTATAATAATTAATCTTAAAAGTTTAAAGTACTGAAATCTTAGTTAAAATAGTGTGATACATCTATAATTCTTATATAAATTAAAACACATTCAAGTAATGTGATAATTGAATATTTTATATTTTATAGGTGATAATTTGATATAAGTAATACAAGTTAAGAGCAAAAAGATTATCTATCATCAAGGTGAGCACTCATGTTCTCATACTATGGTGATATTTTACTTCTTATGGACCAAATGCATTTAATAGTACTATTGAAATTACTGCAAACTCGAGATTTTTAAATTCTAGAGAATTATTGTTCATATTATAAGAATGATACGTGTGCATGACATTATATAAATTATCATTTGAATAATTTATAAGTATATTACTTGACAAGAAAATGAGAATGAAATATATTGTCAGTAAATAAGTAATTTTGATAGAATGTTTGTATGTGCATGGTTGACTATGATGAACTCACTCCTTTATGGCACTAATCGGGGATCACTAAGGTACCCGTGAACGTATATGAAAAAACATATTGATATTGAAGTACTTTAAGTGATACAATTTTTTGACGATGCTCCTGTGAAGATTATACATATATAAAATAATATTTGAATGCTATTGATATAATAATATTCATTAATAGCATCTCAAATGTTAAATTTGATTTATTAAAGGTTTAAGTGACACGTTTTTTTTTTTTTTGTATTGTTGTAGTTTAGGAATATGAATGTTGTATAACTTGTTTAGCTGATTGTTATTTTAAATTAACTTTTCAAATGAATTAGCGATTAAAAGAAGAATGATAGAAGTGTTAATATTTATAAAAGACGCGAACAACCAGCAATAAAGTAAATTTAAATATATTATTTTAATTTAATCAGATTAGTGTCTCTTTCATTTATTAATAATTAGTTGCAGTAAATAAATATAGAAAAATTAATGCCCACCGTCTGACATTCTGTTCCCACCTTGGTTAATTTCAAGTCTCAGGTAGGGTCGTGACAAAATTGGTATTAGTTTGAATATTTAAGATTAATTAATGTAATCTTGATGAAAGAGATAATAGGGTCATTATAAAAAAATTTTAATAATAATAATAAAATTTTAAGTTAACTCAAATTAATAAGTATACCCATTCAAACATAAGGTTACACTATAAGTTATAGAAAAGGGGAGTCTGATATAAACTTTATGGATATCTAATATTGACCTCCTTAATGGGAAATGACTAGAGATTTGTTTATAAATTTTGAGGACGAAATTTTTGTAAGTAGGAAAGATTATAGCGCCCAATTTCAATAACCCGGGAGAAGAAACGAGGAGTCGGACAATCGACGGGGGAGCAACGGAAATGAGAGGTTGATAAGCCGAATGATACTTTCGTCGTATAAGAGACACTCTTGAGGGAGGCAGAGGAGAGAAAAACTTACTTGGGAGTCAAACAGTGCGGGAGATGTCCTAGCACGCGACGAGGAGGCTTGAGGAAGTATCGACATCGAGCTTCAAGAGGTACGGTGCTAAGGAGGAAGGAGCGGTGGAGGAGAGCACGTGCCCTAGCCTACCAGCGAAGAAAAAGACACAGCATCATACACGAGGAAGGGTTGAGTTTGTGCGTTCGTGTGGGAGAGGAAGCCGAAGCCAGGCCTTCGATCTGAAACTCTCACGAGCAGGAAGAAACTTCCTCGAGCACGGTAGCCTGCCTTCTATCTGAAACTCTCACGAGCACGAAGAAGCTTCCATGAGCATAGTAGGCGAAGTCGTGGTTTCTCATGCATGAAGTAGGGTGACCAGCTTTATAAAGATAAGTTTATTTATTTAAGTTCTTTAATAAGTAATATATATTATGTATAAGTTTATTATTTAAATGTTAAACTTAAGTGAATTTCATTTTGGCGCTAAAACAACGATTAGCGTTTTAATTTTAAATATACAAATTAATATTCATTAATATTAATTTTGATTACAATAATTAAACTTAAACATTTGAAGTAATGAAACCTTTGTTAAAATAGTGTGATATAAAAAAATTCATAATTAAATTAAAACACAATTAAGATGATAACTGAATATTTTATATTTATAGGTGATAATTTGATATAAGTGATACAAGTTAAGAGCGAATCGTCTATCATCGAGATAAGTACTCGTGTTCTTAAACTATGGTGATATTTTACTATGGTGATATTTTGCTTCTTCCAAACCAAATGCATTTACTAGTAACTATCAAGATTACTGCAAACTCGAGATTTCTAGTGAATATTTGTTCATATTGTAGGAATGAAAAATTATCATTTGAATGATTTATAAGTATATTATCGGGTACGTAAATGCAAATGAAAT